CCACAGGATTGTATGTCCCTCAAAGGTGGCGAAAGCCGTGTTTGTATTTTGGCACACGAAGATTCCACTGTGGTGGTGCAAGTGCACTTGTGTGGCTGTCACTGATAACGCGATTCGAGCTCCACATTGGAGCGAGTAGAGAGAAGAGGAGATTGCAATCATTTGTCGCATTGACAGATGGTAATGAGAGCAGAGGATTCACTTGCCGTGAGAAGTGGATTCAGAAGAGTTCCTCAACCCATGCAAGTTATGCATTGGGGAGTGTCCAAACACCACCTCGCCACTCTCTAGCACAGTCCATGCGTTGACGGCTGTAGGTAGGGTGGTTACGAGTGTCGTTAGGTGAAAGGAGGCAGTTGTGTCGCCTGGCAGAAGGTGGAAAATTGAGAGTGGAGAGAGAGAGATTGCGTGACATGTCTGTAGACCTTAGGGAAGGCAGATGAGTGAGGTGGGAGGATGGGGGATATGGGAGATGACTTCTGCCATCCTTTTCATCACTCCTTTTTTATTACTACAATTGTTTGCAATGTAGAGGTGACGATGACGAAAAACAAAGAGTCACCGGAATCGCCTCTCTCGCAGTACTTCCATTGGCGTCACGTGGCTCCTCACAGCTATGAGTTAGGCTGGGACGTGGACAAACTGGCCTCACTTGCCGCCAATCGGATTGATGTACTCATGGTGGTCGCCGTGACATTTGACTCTCCAACAAATCGTACCGCCAACTTCTCACAGGGAGCGGTAGTTATGGAGAAGGTACGGCCTAGCACACTGTACGTTGCTAGGCTGGATGCACTGAAGGACAAGACCAAAGTGTGATATTACGTGGGAGAAATCAAGACACAACCTATAGGTAAGTCGATGCCTCGCCTCACCACTGGCCTCACTGTGACATTCAAATATGACATTCGGCATGCAGCGTTGACTGGTCGTAAGAGACTCCCGAGCGGAATCACAATGGCGTATCGAAGGTCCAACTGGAAGACTGGAGAGAGAGAGAGCACCACGGCTTGGCATCGATCGCTGTGCTTGTCGATGGCATGCAGAAGGGATGGGTGAATGTGGGCAAAGGGGTGGGAGAACTCAACTCAAATGTCGCTACTTTACTGAAAATGGGAAAGAACTGTGTGAAACTGTAAAGTCGATCGTATTTGGATGGCAGAAGGTGCGGTTGTGAGACGCGTTTGACTGATACGGACGAAGGCAGTTGCTTGAGCTGCCAAAGCTGCAGAAAGGAAGGGCAGCGAGCACTTCAAACATGCATGGCGATTGTTTGGTGTAGCCGCTGTCCTTCCTCCACA